TTATTAAGTGTAATTCTGGACAAAATAAAACCAAATGGTCATGGCATTATGTTTCATTGTAGTGCTAATTTTGAAGAGCTGCACACAAGCAGTCACTGGTGAAATGATCCTGTGTGAATGCTTTAATGGTGCTTTCTGAGATTCTTCCAGCAGGAGCATAGCATAAACAATCACTGCATCATTTTTATATCAGGCATTTTAAAATGGCTGGATTACAATCAAAGGTGTAATATTTTTAAGCAACCTGATAAGGACATTCTAAAGCATCTTTCAGTAGAAGTTTACAATGTAATATAAAAATGTTATGTTGGTTTTCAGACTTTTCATCTGAATTTTGTTCCTCAGTTTTACAGCAACTTGACATGGAGGTGCAGTCTCTATGCGTGCGTGCACTTCATGGACAAGTATGTCACAATTCTGCATGTACAGGGGAACTCTAAATAGCTTGACATTTTTCTAAATAGAGTACAAAATACTGCCACACTCAAATGTAGACTTGGGGAAGCCAGAATACAGAATTCCTTCCCCCGTTCTTTTGTTGTAATGGGCATTGTAACATACACGCTTATTTAAAATCTCCATTTTAAAGCTTACCCTGACAGAAAGAGGTGATATCCAAATAATTGGTATTTTCGCATAAGGATATTGCTGTCTCAAAAAAAGACTATTCCTTAGCCAAAATTCTTGTTTGTTTGCAAGCTTCCTAGGAAAATAAATCTTGTGGAGATTGACATTTTTTTTTGCTTTAGAAATGTAAGGCAAGGGAACTCTCCTTGTGTGACCTCCACTTTTATCTTTGGTGGGAGTGCAGGTATTGCTGCTAAACAGTTTTTGCTTGAAAATTGCAAGTGTTAATGTGGTGATGTTATTCAAAGGTTTACATATAAGCAGGACTTCACTACAGGCCAAGCAGTATGTGATCGAATCAACTTTAATGGAGGAATCAGAATAATATTGTTCTCCTGTTTGAAATTTGACTGATGTATAAAAAAGATACTGCAGTTTAATTCTTAATTGAAGTATGCAGTATTTTAAAACCATGCCTTTCTTCCCCCCCTGGATACCTAAGAAAATGAACATAATACGGGTGTCTTATGTAAAGTTCAGGAATTTTGAAAGATGACGGACTTGCCTGTTACTTTAGGTCAAAGAAATTCTGTCTAAATGTTTGTTGTCATGGAGTGACATTGGGGGTACATTGGGTCAAATTATTATATTTAAGATGCAAAGCCCCAGTTCTGCAAATGTTTCTGTATTTGTCAATGGAACTTAACACATGACTAAACTTTAACCATATGTGGAAATATTTATGGGCATAGGCCTATGTCTTATGTTGTTATAATGCTCGTAATCTAAAAACTAAACAACAGAAGTGGATTGGAATTCCCAGGATATTGCCCTATATTAAACTATATCATTTTTTTAAAAATACTTTGTGTATAAAGTGTTTATAAATATTTGTGCATTAAGATACACAAGTATATTTTTAAGATTTAAGTTAAAAAGTTTAATGTCTGGCCTTTTTAGCCTACACATGCAATGATACATTTACTCTATGATGCCCTAGTTACTGCTTAGTCTGTGATGAAAACTTTGCTGCTTATCTAATGTTCTCAGAGAAAAATTGCAAAAGGTGTAAAGGTTTGCTGCATATGAAATACAGTAGCAAAACCTTGTATTGACCACTGGTAATATGAATGTGTTGTACTGATTTGTTGAAGATAATCATGAAACAACATATTTTAAATGTTACTTGCCTTATAGATTAGGATACAAATATGTGGATATCATTTTTGTAAATAATGTTTTTTATAAATGTCTTTCCTTCATGGTTTTTTTCCCCAAACACCCATTTCACAAAATCCTGAATATGCAATTATTTACCATACATAATATTACAGCAAATAAATCCCCACTTCTGAACAAAGTTTATTAATTCTATACAAAAGAATGAAATGAAATATCTGATTACGTTGTAATTTAAATGTGCGGATTTTTTTCTTGAAAATAAATGAAAACATGAAAATATGCTTTTTTGTTAGTTTTTTTGGATCAGTTTTGTATTCAAGAGTAGCATTTCTAATGCAATTACGCATTTGGACATGTGATAGGGGACTGGAACCAATCATCTCTCTTCCTTGAAACTAAAAATAATGGTCCATCTACCATGTACATATATATATTTATTTTAGTCCTTTTTCATTGTTTAATACTGAAGAATGACAAGATCTGTAGTCCTGCCCTGCTCCTTTCAATATGTAGCTGGTGATCCTGCAGAATTGTTGGGTAGTTTTTGGTAATACTTGCTTCTAAATAGAAATGATATAGCATTTAGAAATATTCAGTTTTTACCTTGCATGTATTTAGACTTGATTTGAGTTATAGGCAAGTATGCATCATTAATATGCACAAACCTTATTCAGAAAGGCTGTTGTGGTTGTCTTATGGAGGTAGAAACTAGTAAGTTCATAGTTTCATAGTAGAAGGTGAAATACTATACATTACAGGAGGGACTAAATCCTGTTGTGCATGAAAAATACTTTATAACTTCCTCAAAATTATAGCACATTCTGCAAAACAAATTTTCTGAGTGTGCACAAATGAAATAATTAAGTGTAGATGTTACAAATAATCAAAAATGGGTCCTTTGAGAAATGTTGCACGCCAGATAATAATTTTGTCCCTCTCTATCAACCTCAGTAAAATAACATACTCCTTAATCAGTCCTATCACACACTTAAAGCTTATTGGAATATTTTGTAAGGTTATCTTTGAATATTTAGGATTTTTGGTCAC